GAAAAGTGTATATTCTACAAATTGTATCTGAAGTCCTTTTCCTACTCAGTATATAAGCTTCAGCTATTTGACTTATTAGTTTTAGTGAATAAATGCTAAAAATTATCATTTTGTGAATTTGTCAATTTGTGATTCTTTCAAATTTCACTTTATTTTTGTGCAACCTGTTATATACATATATAAGCTCAGAGTTGCAATATCTTTCTGGAGAAAGTAAATCTCCATTATATTATTATACTTTTTATCACTACTAATGCAGATATATACAGGTATATGTATACATATATATGATCTAGTTTGTGTTTCTGTTAGCTAGCATTCGCTAGGTATATCATTTTACTTCCAATATTTCTCTCACATTATGTTTTGCACCTGCTTCTTGTAATGATTTCAAAAATACAATCAGAAAAATCTATCTTTTCTTTGACGAGTCAATCATTGATATTTATTGTGATTAGAGATCTGTAAGGACATTTTGTATATTCACTGTCTTTTCTTTTTGGCGGCACTGGGGTTTGAACTCAGGGCCTTGCATTTGATAGGCAGGCACTCTACCACTTGAGGCACACCTCTGGCCCCAACACTGTCTTTTTTATTACTGCTTTTTTCCTCAATTTTTGCCTTTTATTGGCTTAGTCAAATTTATAATGCTCTTTCTCCCTTATGCATTTTTTAATTTATAGAGTCTATTCCACTCTTTTTGTATATCCTCAAAATGTTATTTTTTTCCGCAATACTTAATTTGCACTCGGGTCCTTGTACTTGCTATGCAGGTACTGTACCACATGAGCCACACTTGCAGCCCCTTTATGCTTTAGTTATTTTTCAGTTTGGATCTTGTGTTTTTTGCCTGGGACTGGCCTCAGACCACTCTCCTCCTGCCTCTGGCCTCCTGTGCGGCTGGGATCACAGGGTGCACCACCACATGTGGCCTATTGAGTGAGATGGTGTTTTGTTAGCTTTTTGTCTGAACTGGCCTCAAGCCAATTCTCTAGATCTGTCTCCTAAACAGCTGGGATCACATTCATGAGCCACTACAACCAGGCTCTACTCACAATTTTAATGTATGCATACCTGACTTAAAATATTCTTCAATTAATTAGTAGTTCTTCTTCTATCCCCCAAATTATAAGGATGTTAGAATGCTTCAACTCTTCTCCCTTTTAGTCTTTATGTCATTTTTACCCTTAAGTTTTTAAGCACCATAAAATTAGTCATCTCGTTATCATTGTTGTTTTATGCACATAGAACTTGATTAAATTGTCCCATATTTACAATGTTCTTACTCACAATTGGGTCTTGAATCCTATTCCTACTTCTTAGGTTCAGTTTGCTTGTAGTGGAAGCAAAGTCTTTAGCATTTCTTTGAGTGGGGACCTGAAACTCTTGCATTTGTCTGAAAATATCTTTTTGCCTTCCTCTTGGGTGATAATTAGCTAGCTGTGAAAGTTAAGTTGGCAATATTTGTCCCTGAGTACTTTGATGAAATTGTTCCATAATCTACTCATCTATTTGCTGAGGAAGTTTGTGTTCACCCTACTTGCTGTCCTTTTGTAGGAAATCTTTTCTGGGGGGAGCGGGGGGGCATTTATCTTTTGGTGTTCTGCAGTGTCACCATGATCTATGTTGATATAGATTGTTTTTATTTATCTTGTTTGAGACTCATTTAGCTTTTCTTAATCTGAAATTTTCATGTGTTTTCCTAACTTTGGAAAATCTTGACTTTTCTTCTCTTTAAATATTGCTTCCATATATCTCCTAATATATCATATATGGATATATATATATATATATATATATATATATATATATATTCTAAAATGGTGATCCCTCAGCTTTTCAGGATCATCATTTCTTTTTCTCTTTCTCTTATATGCATCTCCAGTATCTTACTGTGTCAATTCCAACACTGAGTCAACATGCCTTGATGTTTTCTACCTAAACAATCAAACCAACTAAAAAGAAAGGAAGGAAGGAAGCTTTTATGACTCAGTATTTTCCTTCAGCTGTCTATTTCTCTGCTAGATGTCATAGCCAAACTTGTTTTTTGTTTTAACTTCTTAATGGATTTGCCTACACATCTCTCTAGTCCCTTACTTCCCAATTATTCTTCAATTCCCTTGAGTCTGGATTCTGTCCTGACCAATTCAGACAGATGACAGGCTCCTCTTGCCAAGTTTTCCATTGACTTCCTTATAACTAAATCAACATTTAGTACTTTTCTCATTGAACTTCTGACCAGTATTTAATGTGGTAACCCTAAATCATTATTCACTTGTTGGCTTCTAAATACTTTAGTCTTGTGTTTTCTATAAATGTTGGAACACTAAGGGCATGAAATTGAGCCTCTTTTTTTGTTGTTGTTTTTTTTTTCTGCTCTCTATCACTAAGACTTTTTATCCATTCACCCAGTGTAAAATACTATCTATTGGTCAGAGATGGCCATACATATTCCTCTAGCCCCACCCTTCCTCTGAGGCATCCAATTTCTGTGAATTCCTGCCTGGTACAAATATTTGGGTATCATAACAACATGTAACCTTAGCTTTTCTGACACTGACTCTTGAACTTAGGCCTAAAAGAGTGTCTTCCTCATCTCTGCAAATGTTATCACCGTCGTATCATCATAGGAGTCATTCTTGATTCCTCTCTCCCTCAAAACTCACATTTATTCTATTATCAGGTCGTGTAATTTTATCCTCAAAGTTTACCTCAAACTCCTCCTCTTCCCAGATCTACTGCCAGCATCTTGGTCTTAGCCTCTATCATTTCTTAACTAGACCACTACATAGTTTCTGAACCTATTCCACTATTAACACTCTCCTGTCCATTTTCAACACAGTGGTCAGACTAATCTTTTAAAATGAATCATCTTTCTACTTGAGCTCCTTGAAGAACTTCCTGTTATACCTAGATTAAAACCAAATCCACACTCATTCACAAAGCCTGCAAAGTCCCATGTGAGCATCCCTTTCCTACCTTCAACTTCATCTCAATTCCTCTCCCCTTCACTCTTCATGGCCAGCCTGTCCTGGCCTTTAGTTATGTAATCACCACAAGCCCTTTTGTTCCTATAAGGCCTCCATACAGTCCATCTCTCTGAAATGTTCAGTACCCCTTTTCCCATAAAACCAGCTCTTCTCTTCCTTCAGGGCACTATCCAAGAGAGGCCTCCTAACCATTCCTGGATAACATCAGCCCCTCTCAATATCTCTGGTAGCAGTCTCATCTTTTTCCTCTATAGTCCTTGTCATACTACTTTTTGATAGAGTTTTTTACATTATTTTATTATACTTAACTGATCTTGCAATTTCCATAGTTTATTAATCATCGACTTTACTGCCAAAATTAGCCAGCACCTTTAGAACATTTCTAAGAAAATATTAATGATGCTGAATTTAGAAAATGTTCAACTTTCATTAGGACATTTTACTGAAGACAGTTTCCTTTTAGTACCAAGTTCGGTTTCAATGGGTCGCTGAATGAATCATGGCATTTGGCTGACAAGGATGCATTCATTCCTACAAGGAATACTTTGTCATGTTAGGACCATATCTTTGCAGAACACTTCTCTGTTTAAGAACAATTTTGAGAGATTTTTCAAAATAGAAATAGTATGGTAGACAAATTGCATGTGATTACCTGAAATACCAAAAGATAATTATAATTTCATTTTATTGCATAGAAACCATAGTCATAAGTTGCTCTTATTTGATTTACTTTCTTTCACAGTTTTTACTCACCCGTGAGTTCTTTAGAAAGGAACTAGGTTCATTTTTCTTGCTACTTTATGCTAACCCAATTACTAGTGTGTATGAATAATTAAGAAGTCAATGTGATACTATGTTTTCTTAAGAAGAACTCTGATGAGTGCCTTCCCCAACTGTGGCCATCTTGGTTTTTTGTCAAGTAAAAGTAGCAAATAGCCCCCACCCAGTCTGTTAAAAATAATACTGTGTGCATTTCTTTTATTTTGTAATTGAGGTTTACAACTTTGAAAGGACTTAGATGAGATACTCTCTTAATTTGGTAAAGATTCAGAAACTTTTCGTATAGATTAGTACACCCACAATAGATCTGTGGTCATTTTTGTCTCACCCTGGCCACATCTACTTGCCAGGAATGCCCAAGATCTGCTTTTTTAAATTCTTTAGTGACAGAGAACAACTAGTTTTATTCTGTATTGTTTCTATTTAAACTCATGACAATATATGGGCCTGTTACAGGAGGATCTGTACCTGAATAATCCCAGATGAGACTGTCCTTACTTCGTGATTCAGAATATTTAACAATTGCCTGGTGACCAACCAATGAGACCAGCACTTTGGCCAACCAAAAGGGACTTCCAGCTTAACTCACCTGAAAAACCACACCACAGCATGCTGAATATAGGTCCTGTATCTGAGGAAAGGCCCTATGTCTAGAAATACAGGCCCTCTCTCTGGGCCTGGTAGCCTGTATTTTCAGCCAACTCCTTCACTTTTTTTAATGCCTTTTCTTGGAAGTGGCTCAAAGCTTTGGAACTTTTTAATTATCCCATAATCATGGCTTATTTATACCTGGCTGGATATTCTGCAGATGGGCAGAACAACTTTAGTCAAAAGGACACAGTAATTGAGTTCTGCCTTCCAGAACTTGCTGAGCTAAATGCAGGCTGCAGCAACTGGCTCAGACTATCTTGGGTTTGAGCACACTGTGCTTGTTTTGAGTGTGAGAGTCCCATTCCTTAGCTGATGGCATAACCCTGTAATCTTACTGGTTCTCCACATTCCTTTCTGACTGGAGCATGGTGGATGAGTGGCAGATTTCAAAGATCAAAGCACATCTTTGTTTTCTCCAGATCAGTTTGCAACTCTACCTCATTGGAAGAAAAAGGCCCAGTGAAGGATCATTCCTGCAGAATCTGTTGTTTCTTAACTCCATCCATGTGTTTTATGCTCAAGGCCACCTGCCTTCAGATAACTGAATCTTCTGAGACTGTTATTCTTTTTGGGTCACAGGTCCACACATTCCGAGGCCCACACTGGTGTGAATATTGTGCCAATTTCATGTGGGGACTCATCGCCCAAGGAGTCCGGTGCTCAGGTAGACACAGAACTTTCTCCTTTTCCAATTGTTGAACGGAGGGCCCCTCTTCAGAGCTTGGGACTAGGCCCAAATGAACTCAAAAGTCTAAATTTGTGAAGGATTCAAAACCTTCCCATGCTTAATGGGGAGATAATATTTTAAGTGTTTGCAAGAGTGAAAAAGAATATCTTATGTTTATGTAAGGAAATTTTCATTAACACCCACCTGCCCCCCCCAAATAGATAATAGCCCTTAAAAGAAAAAATATCAGTTCCAGTGGTGTTGCACAAATAGAAAAACCACACTTCTTTGCTATTCCCTCGTATGACTGACTGCAGGACATAAAAATAGTAATAATACTGGTGAGAATTTGCCACAGGCACTAGTTTCAACTTTCTAGCTATCATGCCACATAGCTTCATCAGCACACATTAGGGAAGTTGCAGTTATCTCCTACTAAGTGAAAAAGGAAACAGTCTTATAGATAATTGTGTTAATTGCCATTGGTCACATCGTAAGTGGTGGATGATGGAGAGTTGATTCAAAGGCATTGGGCTCTAGGGTTCTGCGTTTTTCTGCCCTCAGATCAGCAGTAAAAACACACATCTTAATTGGATATCACATATTTTCAAAGGAGCTTGAAACCTTGGGTGTTTTTCCATCTAGACTTGGATACACATACTCTTTGCTAACAGTAAATACGGCACAACACATCTTACTAAGATATGATGAGCAAAATGACAAAGGGGTATCAAATTAATGCGTTAACTAGGCTCCCTAATTCACCTGGCCCTGTTTTGCTGGCAAGCAGTTGTGCTGGGAGCAAGAACAGCCTCCTCTGGTGCTGACTGGTTTCCTCGCTAGGGTACAGCTCTTTAAAACAATCCTTATGCATCCTTATTTACAATTAAATTAGCTAGCAATAATCCATTCGTGTGATCTTCTTTCCCATATTTTGCTTTTCGGGTTCACCCAGCCTACTCCTCTTCTCTGCCTGGAAGGGGTTTTCTTAGCTCCCACTCTGTTGACACAGCAACCACCCATGTGGGTCCCTGGATGGTTCGAGTAGTTCTACTTCCCCATCCTAGGTCCCTGAGACAGGTGGCAAACCCAGCTAGAGTCAACCTCTCAAGAAATGTTCAGACACCCTGAGTAACTCAAAAGAGACTTGCAAAAAGCATCTCATGGCTCAGCCACTGAGGGCAGTGTAGAACATTTGAATTACTCAGTGCTCATTAATTTGGCCTGTACAAATTATACCTACCAAAAATATCCCTCATTGCTGGTATTATCCAATTTCAGCAGGAAATTGATCCAAAGTCAATATTATGAAAAACAAAACTCTGGGCTTCATATTAGCTATGATCAGCAACTTTTTCTGGAATGAAAGGGTTTTAGGATTTTTTTCTGTTTCTGTTTTTTGAACTAAAACACATTCTAAGGCTATATTGTTAGTTCTTTCCAATGGCTGCTTTTTGACCTTGTATTTCCTCCAAAGAGCAGGAAGGCTGATAACTGAGCCTTAAAGGTTAAAAGGAGCCATCCTTGCTCTCAGTTCTCCATATTTGAAATATTTTTAAATGGTCTAGACTTTATTTACAGTACATGGAATTCTACTCATTTGTAAAAACTAAATATTGTTATACTTGTTACACATCTTAATTTTAATAAGATATACAGAGAAACACATTATTGCTTCAGATCTTAAAGTTTCTAAGAAAATTAAAAATAGAATTTTCATATGATCCAGAACTGAAAGTAGTATCTCCAGCAGATATTTGCACACCCATGTTCATAGCAGCATTACTCATAATAGCTGAAAGGTAGAAATAACCTAGTGTCCCTCGATGGCTGAACGGATAACAAAATGTGGTATACTCATGCAATGGAGTATTATTCAGTCTTCCAAAGGAAGGAAATCCAAGCACTCCTAGACCATGAGGGCAAAGGTAAAAGGAATCCATTTGTTGTAGGCCTTTTTGCCGCTCTTATCTGTGTGTCCAGGGTGCGTTTAAAAAAAGAAAAAGGAGTAGGAAGAGGAGGAGGAGGAGCAGGAGGAGCAGGAATAAGGAAATCTTGACAGATGCTACAACAGGGAAGACCCTTAAGGATAATATACTAAGTGAAATAAGCCAGTCACAAAATTACAAATACAATCTGACTCTACTCATATGAGGTACCTAGAGTAGTTAAATTCAAATTCATGGAGTCAGAAAGCAGCATGGTGGCTACCAGGGACTGGGGAAGGGGAAGGAAAGTTATTGTTCAATGGGTGTAAAGTTTCAGTTTTACAAGATGGAAAAAAAACTCTGGAGACAGCAACATGAATGTATTTAATGCCACTGAGCTGTACACTTAAAAAATGGTTAAAATGTTAAATTTTATGTTATGTATATTTTACCATAACTTAGCAAAAATTGTTAAATGAAGTTTGTAAGACATAGTAAGAATTACTAATGAAATAATTTAAGAATATTATATCTGGCTAACCCCCTTATATCTACTATCACTATATGTGCTATTTATTTTATTTGACTTAACACTTGTATAGTACTTACTATATTTCAAACACTGCTGACCACTTTCTATTAATTCAATTTGATCCTCATGATCACTCTTGGAGGTAGTTCTACTATGATCCCCCATCTTATAAAAGAGCAACCCAATAGGAAAACCAGCCACGTCTATTTAATTCATTCAGCCAAAACTTAAATTGAATAACTAGGTCTCTCAAATATTATTGACTTTTACTTGGCCTTTGTTGAACTTCTTATGTGGCTAAAACTAAGACTTAGTTGAAAGGAAGAGAGCCAAAGATAACTCAGCCAGGAAACATTACCTGAAAATCACTTAGAAATTACTACTCATGATTTCATAGAAGTTAGATCCTCTCAAATCCTTGGTGTCATTAACCACTTTTTTGTAAAACGCTAACTACAATATTCATTATTGTGTGTATATGGAAAATATATTGATATATTTCTCTTTATATACATAAATACATTTATGTGTATATGTTTGTAAATTTATATATATACATATATGTGTCAGTATAATGTTATTCTTTATATCTTGGGAAAATAATATGAGAAAATACTCAGTGAACTTTGAACAACTTCAGCATTAAAATTTGATTTTCCAGGATGTCGACTGTGCTTTTTTTATTGTCATAAAAATTCTGCCAGTGGATTCCAACTGCTGGCACTGCTTTTTAATGTGTGCATTGAACTTAAAAGCTCCTTTTCATCTTCAGCTCTTGATATGAGCTTTATTAATAATTACTCTAACCATCACATTATAGGCATTGTCATAAATTATAAACCCTTGAGTCCTCCCACAGGTGTACAGTTAGCCATGTCTACTCACAGGTGTCAGAATAAGGTCAGTAGAAAAGAAAATGGCCTCATCAAACCTTCCAACAAGGAGGAAGGGGTTAGAAACTACAGGCAACTCGCCTGGAAAGGCCAATAGTCCTTTGGATCTTTAAGCCAAAGGCTAGAGATCCCTGTCAAATAGCTATGTCTTCCTACAAAGGGGCATGAAAGATTGAAGGAGAATATCTAGCCTAAGTCCCAATGCCCTTCATGAGCCATGACTATCCTTGGGAAATCAAAGCCAGAAGCCCACTGTGGACCCAAAGGGTTCCAAACCCGAAAAGGGAAAAACGTACAAACAACCTGACTGATGCCCGAATCTATCTCAGCAAGGTACTCTATTCTTACGGTCCAGCAACTGACCAAAACTGAACAAAAATGTAATTATTCAAGTTTAGTGAGTCAAGGTGAATCTCATACTCTTCTAGTAGAGACTACTACCTCTAAATGGGGTGGATGTTCCAGAGAAATATATCAAACCCTTGGGTGTTGTTATTTCTATTTTAATTTGTGTTGGACTTTGACAAAAGGGCCAGGCAAAGCTAATGTGGCTTCTTTGTTTACAGACTGTGGGTTGAATGTACACAAGCAGTGTTCCAAGCATGTTCCCAATGACTGCCAACCTGATCTCAAGAGGATCAAGAAAGTGTACTGCTGTGACCTCACTACACTGGTGAAGGCTCACAACACTCAGAGACCCATGGTGGTTGACATATGTATTCGGGAAATTGAAGCAAGAGGTTGGTTTGGAAAATACTCCCCGCTGTAGTATTATAGTGATTTTACATTTATTGTTTACTTGCACTTTTATCAAGGAAACTGACTCACTCTACTATACTTGGTAAAGTGAGCAGCACACACAGAGAAACACATACATAGAGAAATAAACTCTGTGCAACCAATGGTATCAATTTCCATTTCCTGTATAAGCCACTTATGTGCATACTCAGCACATGTTTATGGAGCAGTTACCATGTGCTAGATGTTGAGGAAATAAAAGTCATATCACTATTCCTGACTTCAAAATATTCCTACTGTAGTGTGAGGAGTCAGGACAAGCAAATACATATGAGTGCCCATGTTCAAAGCACCATGGAGTCTGCTGTGGCTCTTAGAGCCTAATGAATGCCTTGGAATCTGGTGAAGTTATTGATGCAAGATCTGAGTTGGTTAAGAGGAGAGGAGGGGTGCCGCGACTTTGGATGAGGGACTGTCCCAGTGGCCCTGGCTCCTGCTGTTTGGAAATCAGAGCAATTTGGAGGTCAGAGCCTAAAATCAGGGCCAAAGACATGTGCATATCTGGAGGGACTGAGATCCTCCCAAGGTGATCCTTCTCTGAGTAACTTTAGTGATCCAAAAATACAATGACATCTGTCATTTAGGAGAAAGTCTATGGGGGGAGCACAGCACTAAGCATGCCTGGTAGAAAAGGTAGACTAGCATACTAACTTATTGGAATTTATACCAAGGAGTTAAAACAAAGGAACTGGAGCTCAGTATCAGAGGCCTAAGCATGCAAGCTGAACCCAGCGATCAGCTGAAAGAAACTCACGTGACATTCTCAGTTGCATGGCCACCACTGGCAACGTGACCTTAAGCAAGTTATTTACTGCATTTGAATGTATTTCCTCATCTATAAAGTGAGTGGAATCAACTGTGCCTTATAAGGTGGTGGTAAGAATTAAAATGACTTCAGACATATAAATGACCTAGTATAGTGTCCAACATACAGGGCTTAACCTGTGCTATTTCTTCCAACATCTCTGGCAAAGTCCAATTCATCTAACTCTACCTCCCAGCCCATATTCTGGACTCTATTACGTAGCCTATGTGTTTCAGCGCAGCCACAGAGATCCTGAATAAGATGTCTTCAACAAGATAGAAACCTATTTCTCTATCCAGTAACAATTCAGGCACCAGGAACAGTCCAGGACTGGCTGAGCAGATTCCTGATGGCAGGAACTTGGACCCTGCTACTTTTGCTCTGTCATGCTTGAACATTTCCCCTGTCTGCATGATCCCTGTTGATGTCCACCAACTCATCTACCTTCTAACAATAGGAAGGGGAAGGAAAGTTCTGTCCCTTTAAGGCCACAACCCAGAATTTGGACAAATCACTTCTGTTCTCTTTGCACTGGCCAGAATTTAGTGTTCGCTGACATAGATGTTGTGTTAAAAACCAAGGGTTCAATTAGGACAGAGGAATGGAAGAATAAATGCCAGAAGGATAGCTGGCAGCCTCTGCTACTATACAAATGCCAGCCCATCCCTCATGACTTCCTTCAAAGATCAGCTCCTCAATAAAACTTTCCCAAACACCCTCGCCTCTCAACAAGCAGGGTTAGAGCCCACTTCTGTATGCATCTATAAATTACTGTGGCCTTGCTTCTCTGCGCAGTGAAAGTTCCACCTTCACTGGGATGGGCTTGCATCACTACAACCTGGAACAAGATGGCCCTTGGTTTTTACTTGTGGGCCATCAACAATAGATCAGGAGTGGAAATCTGGTCTGTTACTGAGGCATGAGAGCTGAGATCACCTAAGAACATCTGTTATGGTGACAGGAGAGACCAGAGGAAGTATTTATGCCATATATTTGTTGTCTCTGAATCAAACCAATTTTCACCCTTGTATATGACAGTTAATACATGATCAAAAATTGCCAGATTAAAAAAGGAATGTATGTTAGTTACTAGGAGTTTGACAGATTATCTACAGAAGCAACAGAAGCTATTTGTTTATAGCTTATTTTTGCTTATTTTTGTCATACCTTTAGTTTTGACAGCAGCTAGTTTCTGACACACAGGATCTAAAACTTGGTCCTCTATTCCTTCTGCTACTTTTGAACTTATATATTGCCCATGGTGAATAGGAGGAGAGGCAAGGTTTTATGACATATTTTATTTTTATTTATTTATTTATTTTTAGTGGGACTGGGGTTTGAATTCAGAGTTTCACACTTGCAAAGCAAGCACTCTACCACTTGAGTGAACCTCCAGTCCGCCAGAATATATTTTAACAAATCAATAAGCTCAAGAAGCAGAAACCAAGTCTTTTTCTTAGCCTAAGTACACAGTGATAAAGTTTCCCAAATTTATAAATGGAATTTTATTTTCCCATATCTGTTTTTATGTTCGGCTATCTGCAGGTATAACAATTAAGTCAATCATACTTGGTTATTTAACATATTTTCTGATTTATGGTAAAACATAAAATTTGGATTTTTCCTGTAAAGTCAGGAAAATATGTCCTACACACATGTTGAGGGGGGGTGCACCCAGCATTGCTGCTTATAATACAACACATGGAGTAAGAGGATGGTAAGGGAGAAAGCCATGTTGCTGCCTGCACCCATGAAATGAGCAACCAGCAGTGTGACAAACAAAAGAAGTAGAGGAGAATGGTGAACGAGAATCTTAAGTATCAGTTCACTGTGCAAAGCCAGGCAGGAAGAAGACCAGAGCCCATTAAGATGTCCTCTCCTAACAAGCCAATGAAGACAAACATGCATGACTGTGGGGATCGACAAGTCCAGGCTCTGACGCTACAGGGCATGGTATATGATATCACTAACTGTATTTGCTCATTTCCTGATAGCACACAGATAGATACGAAATTAGAGTGTTTTTTCAGACATTTCAGGAAGCTGAAGTTAAAGTGTCTCTCTGCATCCCCTCCCCTTCTTGCTGCACAGGATTAAAGTCAGAAGGGCTTTACAGAGTCTCTGGGTTCACAGAACACATCGAAGATGTCAAGATGGCATTTGATAGAGGTAAGCATGTGCTGTACTGAGTGCCATCTGTCTTATTCCTAATGCCTTCTCTGTTGGAGCCAAAGTCTTTTCATGGTGGGAAGTGGTGTCAGAACCACTGAGTTGTGTTCTTCAGGAAGCCGAGGGATCTTGCTTTAAAAAATCTCCCAATTCTATCTCTCTGGAGAAAGTGTTTTCCTAGAAGCTGTGGACAGATGGCCACATGAGGAAGTGAGTTTAATGGACTATTTGAATGGGCAGCCAATTCACAGCATCTCTGCACCCTCATTTTAGGATCCCATTGTGAGGACTCCTGTCTCAAAACTCTAAAGAAGGGACATTGGGATGGGAGGGTCCCCAACACTAAGGAGGGGAAGCCTCCTAAACAGGAGGTAACTCCTTTGTTCTTTACACCTGTGAAATACATTCTCGAGGGTATATTATCTATGTCAGATATAAGCCAGCCCAAACAACTTGATCAAAACACAGACCACCAGGGCCTAGCCCTGAGCACTCATTCAGAAAGCTGGATGAGCCCAAGAACCTGTATTTCTAGTGAACAACCTAAGTCATTCTGGTGCAGCCGGTCAAGGGATGGACCCTCCGCATGGGATACCAGGTCTTTGATGATATGACCCTCCTTGTGTGTTCAGGATCATCTCTAGCTCCCTCTTTCTACCAGATGTTACACTGTACCACCTCCCTGATGTCATGAAGAAGCTATTCTGTCCATCTGCAGTATGTACTCATCTTTACCTGGAAAACGTTTTTTAATTGGGGATCATGGCTTTTGTCTTTCATGAAGCCTCCCTGACCATCCCAAGCTGCCCTGAGAACTCCATTTCCTTTTCCTTCACCCCTCCATGTTTTCATGTGTCTCCAGCATTGCATCCCATCTCCTTGTAGTCACTGAGTTGTGTGTCTCACTCCCACTCTAACTGGATGCATTCAAAGGGAGCATCTCACCTGTTCTTTGATGCACCAGTGCTTACTCTGCTTTGCCCATGGTGGATTCTCAATAAATGTGTGCTAAATATGTAAATAACGGGATCAATATGTCACAGCAGATACAATTTTTACAGTTTTCTGTATATTCACAGCTTCCTTTTAATCTTCAGAATCAAATTTGCTAAAGCATGTATTCTTTTAATTCTCCATATAGTCTATGTTAATAATTACCATGTAATTGAACCATTTTCAGCTAAAAAAATAACTCATATCCTATGATAGTTAAAATGAATTGATATTTTCCAATGGTAAAATAAAGAGTCAAAAAATGCCTTGAGAATGATTGTAAATAAATGCCAAAAAATTTAACCTCAGACTGGAGGCATGGCTCAAGTGGTAGAATGCCTACTTTGCAAGTACAAAGCCCTGAGTTCAAATCCAGTCCAGCCAAAAAAACAAAAGAAAGAAAGAAATATAACTTCTCCTATACATGAGGGAAAGTTAAAGTCTCCCAGACAGAAATACTAAGAGCCAGGTCAACTTCAAAGAAAGCCTGAAAGAGACAGTCTAAATGGAAGGCATTCAGCATTTATTTTTGGGATTTTTTTGGTTTTTTTTGGTTTTTTTTCATTTTTCTTTTATTATTCATATGTGCATACAAGGCTTGGTTCATTTCTCCCCCCTGCCCCCACCCCCTCCCTTACCACACACTCCGCTCCCTCCCTCTCCCCCGCCAATACCCAGCAGAAACTATTTTGCCCTTATTTCTAATTTTGTTGTAGAGAGAGTATAAGCAATAATAGGAAGGAACAAGGGTTTTTGCTGGTTGAGATAAGGATAGCTATACAGGGCATTGACTCACATTGATTTCCTGTGCGTGGGTGTTACCTTCTAGGTTAATTCTTTTTGATCTAACCTTTTCTCTAGTACCTGTTCCCCTTTTCCTATTGGCCTCAGTTGCTTTAAGGTATCTGCTTTAGTTTCTCTGTGTTAAGGGCAACAAACAGCATTTATTTTTGTATATGACCTTCAAGTCTAAGGCTAAAGACTGGTGCAGATACAGCAGAGCTTCTTGATGCTTTTTAATTCATATTAGGTTGTTACTCAATTATGAAGCTTTGAGTCCATAATATGAATTACTGTGCTAAATTTCTATTTAGCAAATTACCAAGGGCTAGACCCAAAGAACTACTTCAAATCTACTTCATTGCCTTCTTGTCTGCACTTATCTTCAGACCCTGCCTCACTCTCACTACACTCCTTTCTATTACCTCCTGTACCTCAATGTTATTAGAAGCCAAAAAAGAGTCGGCTAAGACTTGTCTGGAAATGTTCATTGTTGGATCTTGTTTTTTTTATTGCTATGCATGCTTTAACTTGGTGAAATAAGGTCGTGATTAGGACTTGGACCATTGATTGTTTTTCAGATGGTGAAAAGGCAGACGTATCTGCCAACATCTATCCAGATATAAATATCATCACTGGCGCCCTGAAACTGTATTTCAGAGACTTACCCATCCCTGTCATCACATATGATACCTATTCCAAGTTCATAGAAGCAGCAAGTAAGTAGAGAAAACTCATTTTTATTTGTACCAAATTTTTAAGTACAATGCTTTTGACCTCAAGAAAATTAAAAACCAGAAACTGTGTAATTATTGCATGAACAATGGTTTTGCCAAGTGAGGGCATAGCTGTGCCATTAATAGAAAACTAGGCAGAGCTGAACCTATACTATGCCAACTCCACAGGCAGAAACTAGGAGCCAGGTGGCTCTGTCCCTCCCTATCACTCCCCATATGCTGGGAACCAGCGCAGTCAAGCTTATTCTGTTATTTGTTGAAAGCACGAGTGTTTTCATAGTAAAAAGTCAAGTGTACTCCAAGGACAGCCATATATACTAACTACTTTTATCCATTAGGCAGAATCATATTATGAAATGACATCAGGGTTGAAGTGACTTTAGTCACATCCAAGTTTTTCCCATTCATACTGAAAAACTAATAGAATGGCCAGAATATACTGTGTCAAATATTATACTAAGGCCTCTCACCCATTTAATTATTCTCATCTACTCAATGAGGCAAAGATTAGAATCTTATTTTACTGAGGAGAAAAGCTAGGTGTGGAAAACTGAGTTCAGAGGTGCAGGAAGGACCACAAGCATTTATCTTCCATCAACCACACTACTTCATTCAGTGTTGACTACCTGCACCGAATGCTTTTGGGAGACAGTGTGAAGTGGGAGGGGGGAGGGTGTTGGAGAAGCCACACTTTGCCTAGAAATAGGTAGTAATAAGGAAGGAGAGATTCACATGCTGAGATGCATACCGGAGAAATCAAGCCTACTTTGAGGAACTGTTTTGGTTTTAAGGGTGTTTTTCTAATCTTTAAAGGTTGGAAAGTATAGGTGTGTGTTGCTAAGTATGAATGAGATGCCCAGCAAGAGGAAACAAGGACAGGGTGCCATTCCTGCAAGACGTACTTTCCAGACGAGCTACAGCTCTGCTCTCTGACCATTCCTTCCTGGGTTCTGGTAGTCCTAAGTGGAGAAGGTTCTATCAACTGGGGACTTTCCAACCAAGAGAAATGGGAAGGGCTTTCTTTGAGTGTCTGCCAGTATCAATCAGAGACCAAAAATCCACATGCTCTTCCTCCCATTGTTGATGTGCCTAGTATCTACTTCCTAACCTGGGCTGTCCACCAGGGTTCACCCTGCTAACACTCTGCTGAAAGTGCCTTTAATGCAGACAGAGTTGGCTTACTCATCTACCAATGTTCTTCTATTGCAGAGTGTATTTGGTTATGGAAGCCTTATTAGACAACTTCAAGGACACACTACATATGTGGTATAGCTGAAATTAGAGCTTGTGAGAGTGAGATTATAGCAAACACAGTGTTCAAAAGGACAAAGCACACTGCTCATGTGCCACCAGACTGTTAACTTTCTACTAGACTGCCAATTCCTGGAGGGCGAGGACAGCATCCAGTCTCTAGCCACCTATGTCACAGACATTCCATGAGCATGTGGTGCTCAAAGTCCTTTTGGAATGAGGCAGGATACAAACAAACTGATTAAGTGAAATAGCACCTGAAAATTGTATGAATTTATCAGACTCCCCCCATTTGGGGTTAAGATGAGCAAAATAGACCCTTTGTTACTTCTCTGGACACTTGATTGTCACAACTCTGCACTAACATCTGTCTTGTGTGCTTGGCACAGAAATCTCCAATGCAGATGAGAGGCTGGAAGCCGTCCATGAAGTGCTGATGCTGCTGCCTCCGGCCCACTATGAGACTCTGCGATACCTAATGATCCACCTCAAAAAGTAAGCCAACACCTCCCTTACTGCTGCTGATCTGCCCCTGGGGCAGTAATGCTTAGTAATGCTTATGTTGACAGCATTCCTCCCTGACCCCAGACTAGACAGATACTCCTTCAATGTGAACTATGCTGTCTTCTTTGGGTCACCCTCAGCTTTAGCTGCTAGATCTCAGACTCTGTGCCAAGAACTGCTTCATGCAATTTCCATGTATCTTTCCATAGAAGTGGGTACTGTTAGGGACTTCAGATACACCTGAGACTGCTGAAGTTTAGAAAGGATAAAAGGTCAATCCAAAGAGATGAATCTAATATTGCAATTCAGGCAGGTTGATCAAGAGTCCACACTCAGTCTTAACCACTGCCTCCATATCTGCATCTTACTCTGACACAGCCCTATCATACTCCGTGTTCTTATCTTCCTCCTCCTGTGCAGCCCAATCCCAGATTCCTGGACCTCGCTGCCTTCAGGGAGAGTACATTCCCACTCTGATCTCTTGTTGTTCTGGATGTATGATCTCTTGTTTTTTCTGAATGTGTGAGTTCTCTGTCTTCAAGCAACAAATTGCCCCAAAACTTTGTGGCTTAAAACAATGAAAATGGCTGGTAGAGAGGCTCAAGTGGTAGAGCACCTGCCTAGCAAGTGGAAAGTCCTTAGTTCAAACCACAAAAACAAAGAAAGAAAATGTATTATCATACCTGTGTGCCTGGGGATTCAAATGTGGCTTAGCTAGGTACCTCTGGTTTAAGGTCCATAGTGAGGTTGCAGTAAAACTGTCAGCCGGGCTGCAAGCTGATATGAAGGCTTGATGGGAACACACTAGTATGGTTGTTGGCAGATGCAGTTCCTCAGAGGCTGCTGGGCTGAAGGTCTCAGTTCCTCACTGACTGTGTGCTAGAAGCCTGTGGATCTCAGCACAAAATAGCAACAGGTGTCCCTCAGGCTAAATAAGTAAGAGCCCCCAAAATGAAAGACACATCTTTTTTAGAAGTGTCTTAGGATACTTTTTGTACCCTAACTCAAGTAACATCCTATTGTTTTTGCTTTTATTTGTTAGAAGCAAGTCACTAGATTCAACCTCTATTTCCAAGAAATAAGTACTTTTGGGAGCCATCTCAAAGGGCACCTACCACATATTAGGCTATCTGTGTAAGTGTGTGTGAGACAGAGAGGTGTTTGAATGATTACAAGACACTAGCCTCTAGTTCTAGATTCTGATCCCCAAACCTTGCATCTCTTTCCTCCCTTATACCTTTATAATGAGATTGATGAGTTGGTCGTTGAATTTTAGAGTTATTGGTGCATGTCTGTGTGTGCCTCCCTCAGTGTTTTTGAAGGAGACATAGCAGCAGTCCAGAATTAGATAAAATGAAAAAATTATCCACATCGACAAAGTTACAGATCAACTTAGTAAATGAAAAGAAGCAAGTTGAGAACACTGAATTAACACTAGGTATCTAGGTTTTTCTTTTTCTGCCTCGTAATACTATTGGTCAAATCTCTGGATATCACAGGTGGTAACATGTCACTCAGAAGAGGCACATTTTGATTAAGTCATTGAATGTAAAGAGTACAAGTAATTTTGGATAAGTAATAGAGTATGAGTGCCACATCTGGCTTTTAATTAACTGTAAATTATTTCTTTCATTACAATTTATATCTAATAGTTACAGTGAGGAAGGCAAAGTACCACTATCACGAAAATGCTGTCACCTCCCAGTTGACATAAAAGCCAGTAATTTCAGATTTTTCTTGTGATGGGTTTGCCAGCCTACTTGTTCAGTAAGGTTTAGTGTCTGACTTCCTAAAGAGAGGTAAGCCCTTTAATAGTGGAGAACGCCCTTATTCCTACCTTCTTCTTAGCTTTGCAGCATGAAAATGATTCTAAGTTAACCTTCCTAAAAATAATATTAAGTGACTAATCCTAATTATCTCTAAGGGAATGGAGAGCAAGGGGTGGCTTTCTGTGCAAAACCTAAGCAAAGTTTATATATCTTTTGTTCTTCTTTGGAGAACCTAGCTCTCTTTAGGTCTATTTTGAGCATTCTAAAATCCAAATTCCTGATAGCAAGAACCTGGGAGATAGTAATTTTATTCTACTAGGAAGGTAAAAGCAACTTTGGGGTTTGGATTTCATTCTTAAAGGATGTTGAAATGATTTTCAATTCCAACAATAATTACTGCTCCACACCTCATCCTGTGAGAACTAGAAATAATGCCCAACTGCCTTCCAGTTTGGCCACATTCCAGCCATTCTCCTGTCCCATGATAATGGCCTGACGCTTCTAAAGTCATGACAGCCCATTCTATAAGCCACCTTTCTCCTCTGGCTCCAGGCCTGCCAGCAAACAGGGAGCCTGCTCTCAGCTTCCCTCTCCAGCATTACAGACCGATAGGAAGTAGTGAGGAAAAACAGACTTCCATGCAAGATTTGTATAGATGCCGTGGGCGATAATATGATCTTCTGCCTCTACAAGCCAGTATCCTTAGGTGATAGTTTCACATTCATTTAGTATAGAGGCCTGATTCTCTAATTTTTAAAATTGTATTCATAGTAGAGTCACATGTCATTTTCTTCCACTGGCTGAAAGTCATCTGAACAGTGTAAAAAGGAAAAAAAAAATTGGAAAACGACCTTTTAAAAAATTGCTTTCTGCTATTCTGATTCTCAATTTGCTTTTGAGTTTTCCTGAGCCAGAGGTGGTCTCGGAACTAAAGTATATATGCAAATCCATCTGCAGGTCTACAGTGTGTTTGTGTCTATGTGTCTTTTGCAGGGTGACTATGAATGAAAAGGACAATTTCATGAATGCAGAAAACCTGGGGATCGTGTTTGGGCCCACCCTGATGAGGCCCCCTGAGGACAGCACCCTTACCACCCTCCATGACATGCGGTACCAAAAGCTCATTGTGCAGATTTTAATAGAAAACGAAGATGTTTTGTTTTAATCCATCAAGGATAAGAGCTAAAGGGCCTCGGCCCCATCTAAGCTGATAGAGCTTAAGGAATAAAAACATTTCTTACACTTGATTTGTTTTTCAAAGAAGTGACAGAATTTCCTGGACTGCAGTGGATTGCAGATTTGGGGACTGTGTCTCATAGACATACCCTCTTCCACATAAGAATAAGGGTGAGGGTGAGGACACCCCACCTTGGGTCTTTTGCTGTGCCTCGTATGTATGTCTGTTTTGCTGGAAGAGTGATTCATAAATCTTTCTTTAACTTATTTTAAAAAAGCAATGTAGACCATTAAGTTTCAGTCTTATCAGTAATTAAAGGGAACTTAATTCATAAAGGTACTTGATGCAGTGACACATTTTTCCACTTACAAAAAGAAGATGATTCTATATGTTAAATGTTAAATGAAACCTATATTGTAAAATGTATTTTTATTTCAGCTGCAAGAATGTTATTTTATTTTAGCAAATAGAAGTCAATGCAGTGCATTGATCATTACCCTGTGTATTCTGTCCTGCATTCTTGCTGTGATGCCCAGAAAAAATTGACCACAAATGCAGTATTATCTCACGTACCTCTGTCCTTAGCAGTGCTTTCCACTGAAATTTCACCTGCTATGTGTATCTTTGCTTTTGACAGGTTTTGCGCTAAAGCACCAACATTCTGCTATTGTATAGTGTATGTTCATAGCAACTATAAGATGGTCTGAAACATCAACAAATTTTCTTTTCATAAAAATATTGTAAATTTCCAAAGGGTGTTATGGAATTGATCACAGCCTTTCTGTACTATGACTGTGTATCTGAAAATATGCAGAGTATGGGCATTTTACATAAAATGATTTGAGGACACTGGATGTATCTGGGCCATGTATAAACTTAGCACTTTCCCCTCTTTTCTTGTCAGCCAGGCCCTCTAACTCATATATCAATGGCAAGCTGAATTTTTGGGGGGCTACATTTTTGGGGGACTACATTTCTGTATTGATGAAAAGTAAATCTGTAGAATACTTGTTGAAATTTTTTCATTTTTGTTTTAGAAACAAACCTATTTTTTAAAGTAAGGAATAAGGTTGGTTTTTACCAAATATTTGTTTCTCCTCGATAAAAGTTAATCTGTATGAAAAATAATTTAATATGATTTTATTACTATAGTTCCATCCTATGGGTTATATTTATCTTAGCATGAGCCTTTCACACCAAGATTTCTATATTTTGTAACATAGGTGAAATATTTAAAACATTGGAAACTGTAAATCTAGATTTTTCTTTTTTAAATCCAGCTGCAATGTCTTTTCTTCTGATTGTCTGAGATGATTCATGTAATTACTCACAAGTCTTGCTTTGGAGTGACCAGAAGAGAATTGCTGTGTGTTAAATGGAGTGAAAGGAGGAACACTGTGATTGCTGTCCTGGGAAGTCCCCAGGGCCCTGCAAATGGACTCTGCTGGCCTCTGGCCTCAAAGGGTTCTGCCTGGTTCCTGCAATGTTAGTACTCCTCCCATCTGTACAGAGTTGTTTGTTGTACCTATGTACTTCTTGATACTGTCAAAAAATATCTGGAAATGGTTTTATTTTGTGAAGTGAACAATACTTTGTAATTTATGATAGTGTGAATGGAAGGAAAAGCATTACATGTATTAAATTCTTCTGCCTATCATGTCGAGTATGTTCAGGGAAGTGATATCTAGGGGTGGCAATGGAGGTTGCAGGGAGGGGATCTCCAAAACTTTGTGCTCAGATGCATTTGGCAACAGATTTTCTATCATTACCAAACCTCAGGGGAGAGCATCTCATAAAGTCCCTCTGCCAGCTCCCTTCTGGGGAGCCTGCTTTGAGGATAAGAAGCTAATGTTCCATTGCACCTTCCAGAAGGCCCATAGTGCTCACAGATTTAGGGAGTAACTCTAAACCACTTAGGAGAGAGGAGCATGAATTCTGGAGTCAGAAAGCCCCGGATTGGAATTCTAGATCTGCCTGTTACCAGATCTGATTGACTGGATTGGGAACTGGGAGGTGGAGGTTGGGGTAGTTGGGAATGAGTTTGCCCATCTGAAAACTTGGGAGTAACATTCCAATTGAGGCATCTTAAATCAAATTGTGTTTTAAAATAATCAGCAATAGTTATTTCTCATTATTATTTGAAGAGTGATGAATTAGAAGGAGAAAGACTATAACATGAGGGTAGGGATGAACAAGGCTCGAAGAAAGGTTAAAGCCACGTCCAAGTAATACTAAGGGATATTATAAGAAGTCTCTGGAAGGTGTAATGAGATTCACTTGACTCCTTTTCTCAAATGTGATTCCAACAGTTGATCCCCTCTGCCTTGCTTCAGACTGAAGCCTGTTAGGGGAGCCTCGCATATGGCAGTCAGACATGGCTCCTCTTACCTGGATTGAAATTCCTGCCATTGGAATAACTCTGATAGTTTGACTATAAAGGAGGCAGCTCTGTTTCTAGGAACTCACTAGTAGATTGTCCACAAGTGAGTTGTGGGAGGTAGGACAGGGTCTGGGCAAGTGGGAAAAGATATCCATTATGGTAAATGGATGTTCAGATGACCTAGTCATGACCTCTTTGGGGAAAGGGGCTGGCACACAAATCAAGGATGGCAGCCTGAAAGAGCAGAGGAGTTGGAGGTGGGGTTCAGGAGGAACTGGGGAGAGAGCAGAGGGAAGAAATGAACCACACAGCTAAAGGATGCTAGGCTGGCCTAACTCTACTGAAAACCCAACTCAGGTAGCTTACACATTCCTAACTTCCATCAATCCCCAATTTGTAGTCAGTCTTTTATTTTAAAAATGTAACATTAACTTCCAACAAATATGTATGAAGAATTCCTTCATGAGCCAGACACAAAATACTTGGAAATTAGGAAAAGACTTATCTCATGGGAAGGATTACATAATAAATTTAATCTGGCTAGGAACAGAAAGCTGGTATGGTAAGAGTTTGGGAATCTAAAGGAGAATGGGGGTTGCTAATGTTTTCCTTTTAAATAAACTTTAATTGTGGAATGGTTTTTGTTTACAGAAAAGTGTCAAAGATACTATACAGAGTTTCTATACATTCCTTAACTACTTTCCCCTAATGCTACCATTTGATAGATGTCTATCGAAACTAAGAAACCCACATTGGCATGTTGCCGTTAACTGAACTCCAGGCTTTATTCAGATTCCACGGGTGCTTCCACTAATGTTTGTTTTTTCTGTCCCAGGATGGAACCCTGAGTATCACATTGCGTTCAGCACCAGGGGGTATTCGTTCGGGGGCAGAGGCCAAAATCTGATTTCCACTTTTAAAAAGATGAGCAACTTGGAGCTGGTGAAGTGGTTCCAGTGGTAGAGAGACTGCCTAGCAAATGTGAGGCCCTGAGTTCAAACCCCCTAGTTCTGCCAAAAGATAAGCAACGTGATTGTGGATTCACAGAGAGCACGTGAGCAGGTGAGGAGTAGATTAGCTACCCTGTCACTTAGATGTTAATTGTAATTTAAGGCTGAGATGGTGGCAACCTGGATTGGGTGGTAGCAAAGCAAAGAAATAGAACTGGCTTAGGAAATAAAATTGAAAGGTGTGATTATAGGTTGGATTAAAGAATCCAAGATGATTCTTCCAGGTTGTTTAATTTGGCAGCTGTGTGACATTTACTAAAATGAAGTACTGACACAGGAAAGGAAGGATTGCTGGAGGGAAGAAGAAAAGATAGGAAAGCCTGGATGTGATCAAATGGAGGTACCTGTGAAATTTCCAAGCAGAGGTGTTTCACAAGCAATGGCATTAACAGACTTGGGCTAAAGATAAGGATTTGAGAGTGACTCACTGAAGACACTAATTGAAACACAGGATTGCATAAGGGTCCCCAGGGATATAGAACAGAGAACTATAGGAAAGGCCCCATCCAGAGTTCTCTGGAGAAGCAACATTCATGAGAGAAGAAGAGAAAATGAGACCCACTTATTGTGATAAAATACAGAGGATCTCATGAATGCCAGTCAAAAAGACTCTATCCCATCTTCAAGTTTGCTTCACATCATCCTGGTACATTGATTTATTCCAAAATAAATAGGATTTGTTTGCTACATTAAGGCAGCAAGGCCCCATGCTTTGGAAAAGCTTGCTTTGTTGCATGCTTTGTAAATACAAATAAGCCAGTAGTAGTACTGTGCCCTGAGTGTTTGTTTCCCCCAAAATGTATGTGTTGAAACCTAATCCCCAAAGCAATGGTAAATGACATTGGGCTTTGAGGAAGTGATTACCTCATAAGTATGGAGCCCTCATTAATAGGATTCATGCCCTCATGAAAAAGACCCCAGAGAGCATCCTTGTCCTTTCCACCATGTGAGAACAGAGCAAGAAGGTAACTGTCAGCCAGGAAACAGGCCTTCTGCAGGCCCTCGTCAGACACCAAATCTGCCAGCATCTTGGCCTTGGCCTTCCCAGACTCCAGAACTGAAAGCAATAAATGTGTATTATTTATAAACCACCCAGAAGGTGACATTTTGTTATAGCAGCATGAATAAACTAAGCTAGTGTTATTGTTGAGGGTTTTTTCCCCCCTAATTTGAGTTGTAAAAATTTTATCCCACTCAAGGATCTTCTTTACTGCCTTCCTACTGCTGTTTATTCATAATTTTAATATAGTGTATCACAAAGTGGTGCAATTACATATCAACTGTCCCCATTAAAATACAAACTCCTCTTCAAAACCTGGGCTGTTGCTATGAGCCTCAGATCCAAAGTCAGCCAGCATCTCCATTCTGCACCACTTCCTTTGTGTTTATATGGCATTTTGTCTGTGTTTCTGTTTAGAGTAAATAAACTGTTTATATAAAGGTTAAAAAATAATAATAAAATAAAATAAAATACAAACTCCTTGAGATAAGAACTATGGGTATTACTTCAAGGGTACCGTATAGGATCCCTGCTTTTTCTGCAGGTCCCAACCCAACAGCTACCTCCCTCTGAGCCTTTCCCTGGCTTCCCCAAGGAAAGAACCCAGGAGGTGAACATGTGAGAGCATGGTTCAGAGAACTCTAAAGGGTTGGCTCAACCAGAGCATGAAAGTGGGTGAATAAGGAAGCCGGGTGCAAGCAGAAGCATAACTTAGAACAGTCAGACTTAGACAGAGCTGTCAATTAGTATGTGGAGGATGGACCAGCGGATGTAAGATTAGGGACCCTGATTACTGCCCATAATCAGGAAGCTGTTACAGGCAATGTCAGCCTGACTTAGTTCATGGCAAGAGGACTGGAGAAGAAATTTGAATATGAGACTTTCACTTTGTTTTTTGGTGAGGTTGTCGTTGTTGGATTTTGTTTTTTGTCGGAACTGGGGATTAAATTCTTGACCTTGTGCTTGCTTGGCAATTGCTTTTAACTTCACCAATGTCCCCGGCCCCTTTTTCTTTACTTGTTCTTTAGATTCAGTGTCTCAGTTTTTTGCCCAGAATTAGCCTGAAGTGTAATCCTCTTACTTATGCCTCCTGTGTTGCTAAGATTCCAGGTGTGCTCCACCATGCTTAGCTTGTTTGTTGAGAAGGGGGTCTCACCAGCCTTTTGCCTGGACTTGTCTCAAACCACATCTTCCCAATCTTTGCCACTCTAGTAGTTGGAATTATAAGCATAAGCCACCACACCCAACTGGTCATTAGGGTTAATTAGGAGGTGATCGGGATTCACTGGTTTGATGCCAGTGAAGAGCCACAGATGCCACCCATCCTTCTGGTTTTGTAGCAAAGTGAACATTTAGAAAGAGAAGAGAATATAGGCAAGGAGCAGGTCAACAGGGATAAGTCAGGGGCTCAGGCTGCCTGATGAATTTGGTGCCAATGGTACACCCAGATGGAAATGTCTGGTCAATGGTTAGAGGTCAAGAGAGAGGGATGAGCTGGTTGATATGGCTTGGTCTGGTAGGATAGACAACTAAAATAAAGAAAGAGGAGAAGAGGGCCCAGGTAGGAGCAAACCCTAAGGACCTTTTTGGAATGATCAGGAATGGTCAAAGGGTCAGAGGGGAGCAGCCACCAGTGCCAGTGTTGCTGAAAGGTGGCAGCAAACTGAGTTCCCTTTGGACATGGCAACTGGTAGTCACTGAGAGCTCATGGGGTGGTGAAGTGAAGCGTTGAGCCACAAAGGTGGAATGAGGTAAGGAAAGTAATAAGGAAGTGAAGCTTGACTAAGGAAACAGACAAAACTCACAGCCTCCTATAAAACAGTAAATCTTCTCTAGATCAATCTTCGTTATTACCAGCAAATTGAAAGTTTCCTAACTCTCTTAAATAATTGTACTTCAAAATCTTCGTAGATCTTTGGACACCCTTCCAACCTGATGGTTCTACTCTCCCACTTTACACTTTTCTATCTCAATAAACTTTCCTGCTTTTCTCGATAAAAAAAAAAAAAAACCAAAAAAACCAAAATCTTCGTAGAGTTAAGCAGGTATTAATGGGAAATATTTTTGGCCACTCTACTTACCAAGTATGATACCTGTTCTTCCTGGGTCCTAATCTGTAAAATGAGTATAATTTTGGTTTGTTTGAGTTCCATAATCTGAAATAACAGAATAACTGCCCTCCTGGCCTCCCAGGAGTTTTTCTAAGGGTCCATTGAGATCCTAAATGTGAAAATGCAAAGCTCAGTGTAAACTGTATATTTATGCACA